TTTTTTTTTTTTTTTTGAACTGGGTCTTGCTGTTTTGCCCAGGCTGGCCTCAAACTCCTAGACTCAAATAATCCTTTCCTCCTTAGCTTTCCAAGTAGCCACACAACAGGCATGTGCCACCGTGCTCAGGAAAAAAAAAATTACAGTGAAATACGTATATCTTAGTTAGCTCTAGCTGTTCTAGCAAAACAAAAACATCGTAAGTGGAGTGCTTAAAAAGTTGAAAGTCTAAAAACAGGGTTCTTGGGTTTGGATTCTTGGTGAGGCTACAGACAGCTGATTTTTTGCTGTGTCCTGGATGGGCAGGAAGGGAGTGGCTAAGCCTCTGGCCTCTTCTTACAAGGGTGCCATTCCCACTTGGAGGGTTCCATCCACCTGACCACATTACTGAACATAGGCCAAATACCCAGATGTTGTAGCATCACAGCTGGAGTGGAGTTTTGATATAGGAATGTTGGGGAGGCACATTTGGTTTTTTACAACATGTAAAATTTTCCATCTTAACTATTTTTTTGATGTGCAATCCGATAATGTTAAGTCCATTCATGTTATGATACAACCTATCTCCAGAATTTCTTTTGTCTCTCAGGACTCGAATTCTACATCCATTCAACAAAACACTGCAGTTTCCTCTCCCTCCAGCCTCCGCAGCGCCCACCAAAAGTTCTCTGTGAATTTGAATACGTGCTCCTAAGTGTTGTATGGCGTTCTTGTTTCGTGACTTGCTTATTTCCGTGATGGTCTCACGGGTCACCCACACCGTGACGTGTTTCCTTTTAAGACCGGAAATGATTCCACCGTACATGGGCGGCGCATATGACTTCCGCCAGTTCCTTGGTGCCCATTCGGATGCTCCCACCTTTTAGCTGTCGTGAGTGCTCCCCTGCGAACACGATTTATAAGCCTCTCTTTGAGCCCGTGCTTGCAATCTTTTTGAGCATGCGCTTGGTTTCTTTTTGCTTCGAATGGAAGCATGTACGGATATGTGTCACTTGGTAGTTTTTTTCGTCGGCTAGTTAACTCTAGTAATTTTCTTAAAATTTTACCGTGTAGTTAATTCTTTGTAAGAAAAATAATGTGACAAAGTGAAAGTTTCTTCAGGGGAAAATGTGTCGTTTGGAAGAAGCACACAGAAGGCGTTTCCCTTGAGTTTTGGTGTGGATGTATCAAGGAGAAGTTGATACTGGAGATAGTTTTTGTTTCTGTGTGATTTCTTAGTTTTTTGTTTAGTGCTTTGGTAGGCTCTTCATTTCTTCATTTAATTTCACTCATACCTATAGTCTGCTTTTTGTAGGAGGCAGGAGAGGGTGAAACTCAGTACCTATGAGTTTTTAAATTGGCAGCACCAAAATGCTTCTAGGGACTGTAGCTTTATGTAATGAGACTAGGAAAATAACTGCCGCATCGTAGGGCATTTTCATTGAGATATGAGTGTCTTGAGGCCTTTCCCCCAGTTTTTAAAGACACATAGGTGACTTTGTGTGAATGAAATTCTAAGGGGTCCTTAGCTAAATTTGAAAATGAAAAGACAACACGAGAGAATGAGTGTAGCAAAATATGCAAAATCTCCCATTAGACTAATTCAGTGAATCTAAAGGGTATGGGTTTGAAATGTTTTTTATTGTTTTATTTTTAGTATTATATTAAAATGACATTGGGCCAGGATTTAGCTCAGTGGTTCCGCTTCTGCCTTGCAAATGCAAGGTTCCAGGTTCAATCCTTGGTACGAAAAGAAAAGAAAAAAGAAAAAGAAAATGACACTATAGTTTCCAGGATGGCTGTGATAGATAGAATTAAAAAATTATCGTTTGTCAGTTAAATAGCACATACCTGTAATTTCAGCTACTTGAGAGGCTGAGGCAGGAGAATTGCACAGTTTGAGCAATTCAGCAAGACCTTGTCTCAACATAAAATAACAACAGCAGGGCTGAGGATTTAGCTCAGTGGTTCTACTCCCTGTCTCACAAGCACAAGGTCCAGAGTTCAATCACTGGTACCAAAAACAAACAAACAAAAAACAACAGCAACAATAACATTAATAAGCCTGGGCCCAGGGCCCAAGCTGAGTGCAATTGCCAACACTGAAAATATTTTTTCTTCAAATCTTGAAGACATAAAATATTCCATTTTTTTATATTTCCAAAATGTAAGAAGACTTTAGCGCTTCCTGTTTAATTCCATTTAGGGAGGAATGGCATTAATCTAGGATCAGGTTTGTCAAGGCTTCCTACTATTGCGTTGTTACCGTGTGAGGCAGGAGCGTCATGGTTCTGAGATTTCTTGGTGACAGTGACCCATGTCAGTGTTCCGTGACCCCATGGCTATGCAGGTGTGAGCTACGTGTGCCTGAGATGCTTCTCCGGACACAGTGGCTGGACCAGGATCCAAGTGTCCTTTTGCCTGACCTCCTCCCTCGGGTTCTCTCACTGCTACCAAGCTGGTCAGGCTGTCCGGGACACATGCTGTCCCCCGCTGTGTGGCGGAGGAGGCTTCTGGTCCCCATGTTGCAGCCCCGGAGGAGAAGGAGGCCAGGAAGTGGCAGACGCTGGGCTGTGTGCATCCCTCGTGCCTGGGTTCCCTTGGTGAGGTCATGGGTCCGAGGGTCGCGCCTGCCTTGTCACCCATGGCGCAAGACCTGCGATCCGCCAGTTACCAAGTGTCCAGAGTTTATCTCCTCCTTTCTCAAAGGTCATAATGGCTGTATCTGCCTCAGTGATCGTCTTGGGGGTTAAGTAAAACATTGAAATTATTTATATTTTCTGGCATATAAAATATGCATAATAAGTGTTAGCTTCTAGCTATGAAGATGTTCCAAGGACCAGAGTCAACTGTTGCTTGATTGTTTTAGTGCTTAAAGAACTTGTAAGCAGTGTTCATTTTACTTCAGGACTATTTTAAGCAGTTAAAAGGTACTGAGACTATCGATGGTATATAATCAACACATGTAGTTTTTTTTTTTTGTAATTTATTTATTTTTTCAGCTTTAATTGAGTTTATTGGTACATTTAGGTATACAGTACAGTTACATTCGTTATCGGGATCTTGTACCTTTACATGACAGGTCTTTGATCTCATTTTTTCCCCTTGTCCCTGCCCTTCCTTCACCCCTCCTCCCCTCCCCATCTACAAACTCTTTATTACCATCTTTTCTTTTTGTCTCTTGTACCTCTACATGACAGGTCTCGGTTCTCATTTTTCCCCTTGTCCCTGCCCTTCCTTCACCCCTCCTCCCCTCCCCATCTACAAACACTTTATTTCCATCTTTTCATTATCTCACATTTTTCTCTTTTCCCTTATTACCCTTCCCCTACCCATCCCACCTTCCCTACACCTTTAGCCCCTTTCTTCCCATTACTAACACATGTAGTTTTCAAAAAAAATTAAGCTTTTTTTTTGTACTGGGGATCGAACTCAGGTCCTTGAGCTCGCAGAGCAGGTGGCAGAAACACTGAGCTAAATCCCTGGCCTGGGCTTGTTTTTTTAACGAGTATTGTTGATGGAATAACCTTTCATATTATTTCTTAAAATGGTTTTAATGTGGATAAAACGTAAGTAGGTTTTGAGGTGAGTCGTCCATTGGAGTAATTTGATTTCACTTGCAAAAATTTTAGTTAGATGTCTTTTTTCACTTAAAATGGGTCATCATTAGAAACAATCCATTTATTTGGCAGGATAAACCTAGCATGTGGATCTGTGCAGCAGGGAGAATTCTAAAATGCCTGTGTAATTTTAAAAGTTGTTTGCTGCTCTTTGGGGAGACCGTGAATTGCAAAACCTTCTACTAACTCCAAGAGAAAGAAAAGCCTAAAGATATACCAAGGTAGAGAGGATTTGCTGATGTTACTGTCTGGTTTGAAAGGAGGGACGGTGATCTAGTATCGTGCACTTTACTTTGGTAGCGACAATGGAACATGGAACGTGTGCAAGATGGGGCTGTAACTGGTGTCTCCCTGCCAGGCAGCTTTATAAGTGGTGCTACCTGTGGATCTTTATTAATTTGACTAGTAAAAAAAGACCGATAAAAGTGATTCAGTCTGTCTGTACCACCAGTGATACAAGCCACCCGGTGGGGGGTTTAATCTATTTTCATAAGAAAGATAACTTTCTTTTGAGTTTTAGTTTCCTTACTAACGGTCACTTGTTACAGGTTAGGACAGCTGTCTTTATCAGGACCCAGTGTTTGGTCAAGAAATAAGGATAAGTGACTAGGAAGTTACAAAAGGATTTTCACTCATTTTTGAAACTATGTTAGTCTGGACAAGAGGGAATCTACATCTGCTGAAAAAGTGCTTTGGAGATAAGGATGCTGACCTCTGAATCCGTTTGTTCTCACTTCCTTTGCTGACAAGGACATGGGAAGGAAGTAAGAGCATGCTGCATCCCCCTAAATTGAAAGCATGTTCATTTGTTGCAGAAGAATCTCTTCTTGTTTTGCTTTTTTTTGGACAAAATGTTGAAAGAGATTGTGTGCCATCTGCTTTGTCGTGATCAATTTTAGATCAAATCCCCAAATTTAGATCGAGTCCTCACTAATTTAACCTGCAGCTTTGGATACTTTTTAAGATACACAGTTCTGGAATAAGTGCAAGCTTCTTTCGTGGGTCACTGCACCCACCAGGCGTCGAGTCTGTTCAGTTGGACTGCGATGTGATCTTGGACTGAGACGGCTTTGGATTCGGGGAAACAACATCAAAGCCCAGAAACAGAAATTGCCACCCACATCTTATTGCTGTGTGTTGTGGACTGTCTTGCTTATTAAACCCGATACTCTGTTTTATGTGTAATTGTATTTTATTATGATCTGTAGAAGTTTGGAATGTTGAGAGCATAGTTTAGAGGTGCCTGGAACTGTTACTAACGCCAAGGTTCAGTTAATAATGGGAAGATCTATGGTAGGAGGCAAGAGGATGAGGAATATAAAAACTTCAGTGTTTATATGTAGTACAGGGCTTTTGCACTGAGCTACTTCCCAGCCCTTTTTAATTAAAAAAAAAAATTTTTTTTTGAGATAGTGTCTTGCTAAATTGCCTAGGCTGGACTAGAATTTGCAATCCTCCTGCCTCAGCCTCCCAGAATGCTGAAATTACAGGTGTGTGTCACAGTGCTCAGTGGAGGAACATAAACTTTTATAGAACAAATAAATTGTCAGTAAGCAAAAACATTAATGAATGTTTAGTTTTCTTCTCACCAGCCTTTCACTTTGAAAAGGAAGCACTCATAATACTTTTTTAGATCCATTGTTAGCATCCTGTTACTTTTATTTTCTCTTTATGTACATATTTCCTGAACCTTTAAAAAATATGTTGTAGTTGTTATTGAGCACCCCTCATCAATGCTTATGAACAAAGTTGTTCTCCCACCCTTAACACCATTGTTATTGTTGTTGAATCTTTTCCTGATTCACCAGAATCCAGTAATATCATCTCATATACATTTTTTCCATTATTGAGAATCGAACTCAGGACCTTGTTCTTGCCGGGCAGGCGTGGTGCCACTGAGCTCTGTCCCCGGCCCGGATATACATTTTATATTAGAAGTTATCCCCCAACTTTTTTGATTCACCATGCAGTAAAAATTCATGCCTTGCATTTGATTGTCTTGTAGTCTCTTTTTAATCTAGAAGACTCTCTCTGCCCTTTATTTTGCTCTGCTTTCTGATGGCTGGAGAGTTATACCAGTGGCAGGATGACCCACATTCTGGATATCGATCTGCCTTGGCCAGAGTTTTAGACTTGGGTTTGGCATTTTGGTGAGAAGACATCTGGGTGGTTACCACTCCCATGCAGGGCTCTGGAGGCCACGTGGCCCTGCTGTTGGTGACTGTGGGGACCACTGTTGCCTCCCACAGACCCCTGCCCATGGGACTCCTAG